CAAAGAGATGGATTGGCCAAGTGGCAACATCGATGGACTCAAGCATGGCAACAGTAGTAAGGTTGGCCCAGGATTGGGCAGTATTTCGTTCTGCTGCACATAAGGTTGCTATGAGGTACCGACTCAATAGCACCTAACAACGACAACAACAAACCTAATGCTAATAAGCCATTGGGATTGCTTCTAACTCCTGTGGGCTCTTCAGGAATTCCTTTCTCTCCTTCAGGTTCTAAGAAGGTAGTCTTCATTGTTGCTGCAGTTTATTCTGTTTCTTGGGAGTTTCTTTGTCATCAAGATTGCTGGTAGGGAAGGGTACAGTCATTTCAACATACTTCTTGCTGCTGTTGTTTAGTGCCATCCAGTCAGTTCTGACTCATGGTGAACCCTGTACAGGGTTTCTGAGGAGCAGCTGTTAGGTTTGAACTTCTGACCTTGTGGTTCGCAGTCCAGTGCTGATCCTACAGTGCCACACTGTCCATTAAATGGAAACATAGTTTTTATCCCCCCTTTGAAATAGTTTTGTACTCTCATCCTGGCACTATAGGATAAACATTCGACCTCAAGGTCGACTTGAATCGTAATGTCAATGGTTCAGATTCAGCAGCCATTCTTCAGAAACCCTATGTAAGGTAGCTGTGAGTCAGAACTGACTGGACACCACCACCTACTGCTCATCACAGTAGGAGAGCATTCTTATAATGGGGTTAAGAAAAAGTAACAAACATGGGGAAGTTTCTTTACAACTGAAGGGATTTTCATAGTACGTTATTTTATAGCTTCCCATGTCCGTTTTTAAATTTTACTAGAAAGTTTAACTATTTAGTATTTTTAAAAATGCTTAAGGTTACATTTCCTCAGGCTGCCCTCTTCTCTTAGTTCCTTTTGTGGGGTTCATAGTTCCATACAATTCATGTAAGTTCATGGGATATTTAAATGCCTTGAGTAATAACTAGGTGGGGAGTTTACAATAGGGAAACCTTTACCCAAGATACCACTTGGAGTATTCTTCTGTGTTTGTCCCTTTTCTGGTGACAAGACTAATGGGCTTGCCAAAGTAAAGAAGATGTAAGGTATTAGCTGGTGAGAGAAGTATCTCTTCCATAATTATAAGAGATGTCACAATTATAGGAGTATGCATGGGGAAGATTGAGACCACCCACCCTTTCTATCTACAGCAAGGACTCTGAACTGAGGAAAGGGATCTTAATGGTCACCAAAATTTAGGAGAATGGGGCATAGATAATTGAGGTATGAAGCCCATGGACAGAGACACAAGAACACTGGGTTAAACGAATGACCAGGAAGGTGGTCCTGAGCAACTGGCTTAAGCAGCGGTATTGTTTTAAACGTGTCTCTTAGGTGTTTTCTTGGTGATTGGTATAAGGTGACCTGCTTTGTTAAAGGTTTGGAGAGAGGGCAGATAGTTTCCTTTCTCAGTACTGGAAAAACTCTTACATTTCTTTGAGCTTTCTAGTTACCAATATGAGATGCATATGCTTAATTTTTAAATGCTTATTTTGTGAAGAGTAAATGAGACTCATTTTTATACTTGGAGTTAGAATATAAGGATATGACAGGTTTTTGTAAAGCATTGCACTGAAGAATGAAAGAAATAGAACTAAAAATGATAGCAAAAGTACAGGTTTTAAGCAAGAAAAGCAACAAAATACTAAAAAGAGAAATTAAACTTAAAAAGACTACCTTTCAACAAGCTTTGAGAATGATCCACGTGATATGTTATGTGAAAATACAGTGACATGCAGAATTAACTGCTATAGGTAGGTATTATCCTATCACCGATAGTGTGATACTTCTAAATACATCTTGAAATAATCTTTTTTGATGATGTGCGCTATGCCATTCCTCTTTGTTAATTATCAGTCCAAGCAAGGTAAACCTTTGATTTGTCAGATTCAAATGGCTATTATCATTCCATTTCAGGTCACTAATGACTAGGATATCAATCTTTATGTATTTCATTTCATTTTTGATGACTTCCAATTTTCCTAGATTCCAAAATTCCTAGAATTGACTTGATAAATTCCATGTTCTAATTATTAGTGAATGTTTATAACTTTCTCCTCAGTTTGAGTTATGCCCCATAAACACATTAAGATCCTGAAACCGTTACTCCATTCTCATCATCGCGGTCGGCTAGCTCTACTTTGAGAAGTCAGCTCTTCACCAGTCGTATTTTGAGTACCTTCCAACCTGAGGAACTCATCTTCTGGCACTGCATCTGACAATATTTTTGTACTATTCATAAGGTTTTCCTCTTCCAGTGCTATATATCTGACAGTGTTCCATTGCTATTGATAAGGTTTTCGGTGATTAAGCATTCAGAAGTACTCCGCCTCACCTTTTTAGTCTGTCTTTATCTAGAAGGTTCACTGACACCTTTCCACCATGGGTGGCCCTGCTGGTATTAAGCACAGCCTCCAGCATCACAGCAATACACAAGCCACCACAGTATGACAAAATGACAGTCAAGTGGTGGTATGAACCTTTAGAAAAGGCAGGTCAGTTACCAGGGGGCCAAAATTAGGAGAAGAACTCTTTGGAGTAAGGGGAATGTTTTAAATTTCAGTTGTGGAGATGGTTGTATGACTGTATACATTTATCAAATTTGCAGCACTATATATGTAAAATGAATGAGTTTATCATATGTAAATTGTATCTCAGTAAAGTTAACGAAGTAAAATGATACACAAATTGTGTTAAAATACAAGTTTGATTGTAGAAGTATACATTATGTTTGTTCAAGGTATCCATGATACTATTCTGTTCATTGCTATTGTTGTTTTTGTGAAGTGCCGTTGAGTCGATTCCAACCCATAGCAACCCTGTATAGGGTTTCCAAGGAGCAGCTGGTGAGCTTAAACCGCCGACCTTGCAGTTCAAACGGCTTTGTAGTCTGGTGCATTAACCCACAGCGCCACACCAGGACTATTAAGAGCACTTTAATAGCTGTGTTGATAGATAGATTGTTTCTTTGATTATAATAAATTTTAGGGGGAAAATGCATCAGTTTATACAGACAGGAAGAGAAAAGTTTTCCAGTCTGTTGATAGACCTCACTGTCCCGTAAATACATCATGAGCTTTTAGAAGATGCAATAGTTGTATTTTTATCATTAGATAGTATCTTTTCATTTCAGGTTTTAAATGCTTTTAAAAAATTACTGGAAACATCTAAAATCAGATTACAAAAGCATTCTTCTTTTCTGTCTGTAAGCTTTTTATTGTAGATAGAAAAAAAATGCTAGTGCCGGTTTAAATGATTATTTTGTTTATACATAGAAATATGATAATTCAGAATAGTGAAAAATGTATTTAAAAATGTTAAATGTTACTGTGAAACTGCACTACTCAGTGAGATGACTTTGGTTTGTTCTAGTTTTGGTAGTTTGTGCTTGTATTTGTATTTAGCTTATTGTCAGTCGGTGTGGCACTGTAGGATAAGTACTAGACTGCTAACTGCAAGGTTGGTAGTTCAAACCCACCAGTCACTCCTCAGTAACCCTATATATACAGGGTGTCTATGAGTTGGAACCGACTTGATAGCACTTAACAATGACAACATTGTCAGTCTGGGAAATATTTGTAGATTAAGTGCTTATATACAAGATAATTATTTAAAATATATTCATAATTCATAGCAAAATGTAAGTCTTGTGTTGATTGGTCTTTTTAACAGACTGGGTAGCACAGTGGTATATACTGCTTGGTTTAAAATAACAGAAGAAATGATTTCTCATTGTGGAGTGAATTCAAACTTGTACTTAATTTCATTCATACCTGAGGACAACTGCTCAGAGATACTCACTGTCTAAACCTAAAACCACACAGTGTTAGCTTTATGTCTTTAGCATCCTGGTGTGGCACTGTGGGCTAATGCGCTGGACTTCGAAGTCGGTATGAACCACAAGGCCTGTGGTTCAAGCTCACCAGCCGCTCCTCAGAAACCCTATGCAGGGTTGCCATGGGTTGAAACCTACTTGACGGTACTTATCAACAACAATATTGTAAAATGCCATAAAATGGTAGTATTATTCTATAAAGATCAGTATGCTTCTGTTTGTGTGTCTTTATCCCCCCATTAGCTGTCCTTTTCTCTTTGTCTCTTTTGTCTGTTGCTTTATTGAATGCTATCCAGGGTAGTCCACAAAATTCCAAGAAGCCTGTGTAAGCCTGTAAGTCCAGGCATAGGCCACTGCTTTTCCTATAGAGATCGGGTAAGAATGGGTTGGTCAGTGAGTGCATGCATGACTGGGTAAGGTGCTTTACTGAACCCTGAGGTACAAAAATGATGTAGCTGAATGCTTTCCAGGAATTCAGAATCTAGTGGAGCAACGGACACAATTATACTTATGTATGGCAAATGCTGCAAAATAGAGACACCAGTTATACTGTTGTTAAGTGCCATTGAATTGGTTTCTACTCATAGTGACCTTTTGTAGTGTTTCTGAGGCTGATGGGTTTAGATCACTGACTTTTCAGTTAGCAATCCAGTGCTTATTCTGTAGCTCCACACAGGACTCCACCCAAATTACTGCGGTGGTGGTGTTAAGTGCTGAAAAATTGATTCTGATTCATAGCAACCCTGTATAGGGTTTCCAAGAAGCTACTGGTAGGTTTGTACCACTGACTTTAATGTTAGTTGTCTAGTGCTTATCCTACACCACCATACCAGGACTTCCAGATTACTGTGTTGTTAAGTGCTGTAGAATCGGTTCCAACTCAGAGCAACCCTGTTTAGGGTTTCCAAGGAGCTGTTGGTAGGTTTGAACCACCAACTTAAAAGTTAGCAGTCCATTGCTTATTCTACATCACCACATGAGGACTCCCAGATTCCTCTGTGTCTAAAAGTGATGGAGGGATTCTAGAAGGCTTCAAAGAAGAAGTGGGGTCTATATAGTGTCTTAAAAGATGAGTGAAGGTTTTTCAAGTTGCAAAAGGTATCCCAGAGAATACAAATCCAATATTCCAAGAACAAATGTTTGGAGAGTGCAGAGCAGGAAACAAGAAATAAAGTGTCAGAAAATAAGACCAGAGAGAGAGTTGGACTAGATTGTGAGGCACCAATGTTTACTAAAGGGCTTGAGATATAGCATACAGAAAAACAAAGTCATATATGTATACCTTAATTTTTTTCACAAAGTAGACATAACCAACTCCCAGAATAAATTAATGACCCCTTGTGTCCCTTCCTCATCATTTCCTCTCCCCTGAGATAACCCTCATACTTCGTTTGACACCATGGATTTTTTGTTGTTGTTGTTAGCGTATTTGAGTTTTATACAAATGAAATTGTGCAGTTTTGTGTCTAGCTTGTTTTGCACCTTGTATTTGTGATATTCATCCATGTTGTATGTAGCAGTAGTTTGGTGATTTTCATTGCTCTGGCATATTCCATTGTGAATAATGTGAATATATTACATTTTATTTATGATTGGCACAGTGGCAGCAGCAATGGGCTGAAGCATAGCAACGATTGTGAGATTGGCACAGGACTGGGCAGTGTTTTGTTCTGTTGCGCATAAGGTTGCTGTGAGTCGGTACCCACCCGATGGCACCTAACAACTATTAATGGACATTTAGCATTGTTTCCAGTTTTGGGCTGTCACAAGTAGTGCTGCTATAACTTCTTCTGTATGTCTTTGAGTAACATACATAATGCACATTCTTGCTTGTAGAGTGCCTGTTAAATCTTTAAGGTTATTATTAATTTGTGGGAATGAATTCTATATCTTGGATATAAGTCCGTTGTATGGTATACGTATTGCATGTCTCTCCCATAAGCCTGTCTCAACTGTTTTCTCTCTTTGTGTTGTCTTTCAATGAATAGAAATAAGTTTTAATGTAATCTATCTTTTCTTTGTTTCCTTTATGGTTAAACCTGTGTAAGAAATCTTCAATTACTACTACAAGGTTTCAAAGAATAAAACATCTCATTCTAAGGCTTCATATTCATCAACAGTAACATTAGGAGCTAAAAGATCATGGATCATTATGGTTCCCAAGAACCCACACCCCCAGGTTAGGAAATTCAAGAAAGGGTCCACAGGATTCAGCATATGAGTATAGCCATACTCATGGCTATGGTTTATTACTGTGGGAGGCCACAAAGCAAAATCAGCAAAAGGCCAGCATGTGGGCCAGAGTCTGGAGGACCCTAGGCCCAGCTTTCTAGCAGTCTACCCAGTGAAGTCTCTGGGATGTATTTAATTGTTCCAGCAAAGAATTAAGACAACATACAGTCACGTGTTATTTACCAGAAGTTTATGGAAACTCAGTGCCTAAGGATTTTATTAGCAGCTGGTCATGTAGGCCTCTCTGCTTTTGTTGTTGTTAAGTGCTGTCGAGTTGGTTCCAACCCAATAGCGATCTTATATAGGGTTTCCGAGGAGTGACTGGTGAGCATGAACCGCTGATCCTGCAGTTCAAACCCACCTCGCAGTCCAGAGCATTAACCTACAGCACCACACCAGGACCTATAAATAGATGACCTAGATATTTTAATATCTAAATATTTAGATCATCTTTCATTTCTCTCTGATATTTTGTTATTTTCTGTGTTGAAGACGCATGTATCTTTCAATAGAGTTGTTTCTAATTGTTTAATGGTTTTTCATGCAGTTGTAAATGGTAACATTAAAAACCTTCATTTTCTATTTATCGATATGTAGAAATAAAATTTGAGACTAAATTTTGTATATTGACCCTCCTTGCCTCCAGTGACTTTGTTAAACTCATTTATTCTAAAAGCTTACGGATTATTTCTGATTTCCTTTAAACATAATACTGTCACTGTGCTGCTCTTCCCTCCTTTCTTTCCTTCCATATCTAGTGTATTTTTCCCTTACCTTCACAACCGTGTCAGCTTCCTATACTGGTTAGGACACCCAATAAAATATATGCTAGAAGTAATGGTAGCTGCTGTCCTTGTCTTAGTCTCACTCTTGGGGAAAGCTTTTAATATTTTACTACTAAGAATGTTTATTATTGTAGGATTTTTGTAAAGTCTTGATTTAATGAATCAAAAAGTGAAGCTTTACCCTTGGAGACAGTCATTCAACAGTACAACCTGGCAACTCTTGCAATCACAAAGGCATTACAATGCACAGCATGCAAAGTACCTCCCACAGCAGTGGTAGTCACAGTCTTACCATGTATTGGAGCTCTAGCAATAGCATCGTTAAGTTCAGAAGGACATGGCATAGCATTTTCACCAAGGGATCAGGTCTGAAATTCTTAGGTAAGTATTTGACTACTGTAAACAGGAATAACTCAGAAAAGGAGGAAGGAGGATGAGAATGGCTGCACATCTCTAAGAATGAAGTCAGTGCCACTGAACTGCACATGTAGAATTGGTGTATGTTTTGCTGTGTATGTTAACAACAAAATAAAAATTTAAAGAAAAAATACTGTGGAAGAGTAAGGTGAATTCATTTACTTACAGATGAGAATAAGGTGCTGCTCTAGAATCCCAGTGTGAGAAGGAAGAGCTCCTGTGTTCCTGGCCCTCTCAACTCCTTTACGTCATTTAGTGAAGCATCTTCTGTGATTAGCAGTTTGCAAGATGTATATTGATTTTATTCCAGTGTAACTGCTGTTTGTGTACATAATTTCTGCAAAGCAAGCTACAAATGCAGATTTATTTTAGTACTTTTTGAGTTATGTAGAATTCATTCCACTTGTGGAATGATCTGGTTTGTTTCTGTGGCAAAGTTATATGCATGTTTTAATATGATTTGTATAGAATAATCAGCTACTTTATTATGAACCATAAAGTAACTGTTGGACTAAAACTAGTAACTCTTTGTTTTTCCCAATAGATAATTAATAAAATGTCTCCAACATCCTTAAAGATCACGCTAAGACAACTCCTAGAGGGGTCTTCAAAGACATTGCGGGAGGTATTAACTATGGAGTATCGGATGAGTCAAGCATGTATGGTAAGAATTTTTTTTAATTTGTCATTTTCTAGTCATAAAGGTAGCAAATATTATAGACTAGGTAAAATATAGAAAGTTATTTTAAAAAGACAATTAAAAATACATGTAAATGTACTCTGTGAAAACACAGCTGTCCAACTAGTTTTAGGTATGTGGAAATGCTGCTTCACAGACTGATAGTAAGGCTTTATGAAACAAGCCTCTAGAATTTTGCCTCTGGAATTCAGAATATATGTTAACCATTTTCTAGGCATAGTCTTTGTGATCTTGGGCAAGATGCAGAAACTCTCTGAATCTAAGTTGCCTCGTTGGTAAAATGAGGAGATTGCTGGTGTTATTAATCGCTGTTGAATCAGTTCCAACTTATAGTGACCCTGTATGTAGAGTTTTAAGGAGTGAATGTTGAGTTTGAACCACTGACCTTGCAGTCCAGTACATTAACCTGCAGTACCACACCAGGACTCCAAAATGAGTCCTCTTAATTAGAAATTGTGTAAGGATTCAGTGAATCCACATGTACTATAGTTAGTGCTTACTGTTGTGTGCCGTCTCGTCAGGTCCGACTCATAGCAACCCTATACAGCAGCGGTGGGGATCCTTTTTTCTGCCAAAATGTATCATATCATTCATAGACCATACAAAATTATCAACTTTAAAATTAGCCTGCTATATTTGGTCAAACATTTAATTAGCACCCCCTTAACATGTTGGCTGAAACTGCAGTTGCCTTGGCAGGATCAAACCAAATGATTACACAGGCCTTGGTATTA